GTGGTAAAGGACAAGTAAAGAAAATAAAACATTAAAAATCAACTATACGTGAAAAGGGAAAGTCCTGAAATTACGAATGTAATAAAAGGAAAAATCTTTAAAGATATTCTACAAGAATTAAAAGGTATGTATTTTTTTTTCTATTTCCTAATTTTAATTATTTCATTGTATTCTACATTGATGATAATAGCTACAATTAGTGATATGGTAGAAAAAATGAAAAATAAACATTTACCTTAAAAAACTTTTGATATCCTTTTAGGAGGTTCTAGAGATTATTCAAATGAAATATGAAACTGTAAGTTGAAGAAAAATATTTTATACTTAAAATCAAAATGACCTTGCACTTGAACTATTCACAGTTTGAGTGCAAATAACTACTATAGATAAATAACATTTTTATTAAAAAGATGTGATTAAAAGAATGTCATTATTTGTGTACAATACTTATAAACGTCAGCAAAATCTTATGAGGTTTTGTGAAGAGTTACCATATGTTTTTTTGTATATGTCCTTCCCCAGTCAAAGTGATACAAAATGTATCAGCCCATGCTGAAAGGATAAACACCTCTTTCATTTTTCTCTGGAATTTTTCTGTACATTCCTTTGAACACTAAGTATTTTATGTATCATCTGACCATTTTTCTTTGCAGTCTCAGCACTCATTGATTCAATAAAAGTTTGGAGATGGCTTGACTGGGTAATGAGAAAAACTTTATTATAAATGTACGATGTTTTGGCAAGATTATGTTATCTTCAGGTAGAAGTAGCTTACAGAGACACATGAATATATATATATACAGTATGGAACAAAGAGGCCACGTGACTGGAGATTGCTTAGGGTGGGTCTGTTTTGTTTAATTAAGATAGCTTCCTTTATTCTGTGTTTATTGATGTGTGGTTCTTTGTTTAAAATTACAATGTTTTGTATAGATATACTGTTGTTTTTTGAGTTGCAATGATGGTAAACATGGTTGGTTTTTTTATTTTTTGTAATGAATCTGGTTTCCAAGTTTCTTCTGCTTTCTCCAATGTACACAGTTTCTGGACAGTTATTGCACATTATTTTATAAATGATGTTTGTATTGTGTGATTCTGTGTAATTTTTATTGAATAATAATTTTAGTTGAGGGCCAGGTTTTTTGGTGAATTTGAAGTGAACAGGAATTTGACATTTAATATCAAATTGGTGTTGGTTATTTTTGAACTGATGTCAGAGATAAATGATAAACTGCAGTGTAATGTAGTATTGTTGTTTGTTGTATTAGTGTCAATTTTGTTTGTGAGTTGACTTTTAAGGTTTTTTGTTCTGTTGGACTTTCTGTTTCTGTCTTCTTTGCACTGCCCTCTTTGAGTCAATCAACATTGTATCTTCTATTTTACCTAAAGCTTCCTCTTCTTTTCATAACTTATAGCCTTCTATGCTGATTGGTTGAGTTAAACAGCTAATCTGACTTGTCTGTTCCTCTGTTAGAGAATACTCCTTTTGTCTTTGTCATGTCATCTCCCATCAGGTTTTATATCTCACAGCTATTTTGCCTGTTTCCATCAACATCCTCTGGTGGGGATGTGGACAAATCCCTACACTTTTTTGTCACATTACTTACATCACAATGCAGATTATTCTGCTTCTGGGCTTTGTCTCCCATCCATCAACAAATCACCTTAATGGAGAATACTGAGATGATTAGTGGTTTATTTCACATGAAAACAAGAAAGAACCTCAAAATGTATAGGGTAGGGAATAGTAGAAAGCATTAAGCTCATCTGCCCTTGCCCACTGTAGAGGTTAGGTTTTCCACAGTTTATGTATTTCTCCTTTTAAATTGTACTTCTACTTTTAAAAGAAAAGAAGAAAAAACATTCACTGAGTGTGGTTTCCTGTCATCAAACCTGGTCAGCTCTTGCTGTCCCTAGTCATGGTAATCCATTACACAACTTCTCAGTGTAGGACTTTATGCAGATGATAGATTATTCCTCTTTGATCCCCACATCTATGGTGTTCTCCCCTACTTTAATTCCCATCTTCCATTTTCTTCTAGAAGAGTAGAACCACCCTTGCTTCTACACTTTCAAGCTGCTGGGGAGGTTGAAATGGAGAGTTCATCTTTAGTTTAATCTAATTCCACTGGTATGAGACCGAGTGCACACACCCTTCAATTGAAAGTAGGGCAAGGGTTTCTACCTGGAAGTGTAGTACATGTCACTTCATACACAGAGAATCAGAATATTTATGGTAGTTTTGACCAGTCAATGAGTCTTGCATTCTCCTCAGGATGCATGTTTGGGATGATTCATTCCTTCACCTGGTAAATATATCACATAAGTATTTCTCAAGAAATACTCTTTGCCTAGTAAAGGTGGTAGAGCCAAAGTTACTGTCAAAAGAAACTCCTGCAAGAGCCCCAAAGGTGATTGGAATGTAAAGGATTGTAGTGCTTACAGTGTGACTCAATAAGTTGCATGAGATGAATGTGTGTCTCCCATCAAGTGATGCCCCAACAATTGAACCCATTCGCTTTAAATGGGTGATACATTCCATGAGTTTTCCATTTCTGTTGCTATATTCTCAGTAAGGAAATCATCTTTTTAATTATATATTTCTTTATCAACACTGGTCCTTCCATCACCCTTTCAATGTGGGTTTTTACTGTTTGCTTTGTGGAGAGTTGAGTAGCATCTGAAGTTAACATTTTGCTTACATGTTACCTGAAAATATATTTCAAATAGATACCTTTCCACAGAACCATTCACTTTCCTCTCCACTTCCAGTGTATCCTTTTTGCCTCATTAAGAATGATCTTTTGGTGTACTATGTGTAGGGGTGGAAATTTTTTTCAGAAGTTTGGCACATTCTGTGGTTTGAGGCATTACCTATTTGTTCTGTAGAGAAATGAGTATCTATTTGAAATGCATTTTCAGGTAAGGAAGACAGTGTATATTTTCATCCTATGCATAAATTTCTATCTTATTTTATACACTGCCAGTTTTAGATGTTTTATATATTATAATAAAGAAATTGTATTTGTGTTTTTATCTCTGTCTTTATACTGTTCATAAAAAATATTTTGAGAACTTCTTTCTGACCAAAATAATTTTTGGAGAATTACATAAATAATAAATTATATTAAGTATAAATACAAATTTTATTATAAAGATCACACACAAGCAAACTGTTTTAGCTCTACACAAGATTTAGTTAAATGAGTTGATTTATGTTAGCTTGTATGTTCAATATCTTATTATACTTGCTAACACTGTTTCATGCAAATTCTTTTTTTGCTATTGAGTACAGATGTTTTTCCTCGCCTCTTCCTTATCTATGCATTATAGAAAGAATTTTTTTTGTACATGAATGTATATAAAACTTAGATAAATATATATTACAAATGTTAAGACAGAGTTTTTTTTCTTGTTAAGTATGTTGATAATATGAGAAAAATAGACTTCACTTGACAATATATTACCAAATGTGCTTTATTGGTATGCATATGTTGTATGTATTTTGAAAAAAATAGCTAAGTTTGTGAAAAGTTGCACTGCAAGACTTGAAACAAAAAAATGAATTATATGAAAGCTTGTTAATACATTCTTTGTTCCTTGTAGTTGATACTTCATTTTACTTTGTATATCAGCTCGATTAAGAAGGCGACGACTTACACAGAAAGACCTGGAATATATCCAGGAAGTGACACCTTCAAGGAATAAAGGAAACACCAAACTATTCAGATCTCTTCATGATATTGGTTAGTAGTATTAATCCATAAGTATATCTACATGTTTATATAAATGTATATAATTTATACACATTGTAAAAAGTTGAATTCTTCCTGTGCATAGCTCTAGATTCCTGTGACACAGGCGTATGGAAGTGTTTTAATGTTACCTAGTCTGTTGCAGGTTAACTTCCCAGCTATAAGCTGGTATCATTTTACAGCTGAGTAGGCTGAAGCAAATTTTTGATAAAGCAACTTTCTTATGATAATAAGTTAATACTAGATTCAGGAGAGCTTCAAACCTGCACTTTACAAGTTCAAAGCCTTAACCAGTAGGCCTTGCAACTTATATATATGTCATTCGGTATTGGAAATAATTATGGAAGCAGTAAATAAAATAAGCATAAAATTTAAGTATTAGTAGGATGGCTATTGCTGTATTATATGAAAATGAGCAGCATCAGAATACAGTTGTGTTGATTGTTTATAATGTGATTGGCTATAATCCAACCAGTTAAATATAAGAGAACTTGCAGTCTTACTTTTCTCAGCAGTAGTGTATTTAATCCATTCACAGCTTCCATGAAAGAAATTCCATATGATAGATATGTATTAGAAATCATAGTTCTGGCAATAAAGGATACTTCATGCAACAGACACAAGTTTTGTGTCACTCTGACTCCATTCCTGTGTTCCTCTTGGACATACCCATATGTGTCCTCTTTAGTGAATTCTAGCTGATTATTGAAGTATGTTCAAAAATCCACTGTCTTTTCTTTTGCCCCTGCTGTCATGTTTTCATCTTTTACTGTCATCATGATGGCTCCATCAGTCTCACATAACCTTGGGTATCTCTCTTCCCCCATTTTGCCTGGACTTACATCTGTTTACAGATGCTTTTCTGTCTAGGTGGAGTGTGGTTTTCAACACCTGCACCTTTTTGTGGTCTGGTATTCAGAGGAGTAGTCTTTTCCCCTCAATACCCATGAGATGTTGGCTGCTAAATTAACTTGCCATCGTATTACGTCTTGTTTGTTTGGACATCTTATCAAGATCCATTCAGGCAACATTTCCATCATTTCTTACATCAGGACCATTTCTATCTCATTTTAGACTTCCTCATTTGAACCCATGACTACCACAATCACTTGTCATATCCTGGGATATTGAAGTTGGGGTGGATCTGCTGTAACAACTAGGCCACATCCTTTCCTCCAAGTTTCCATATTTCTTTATTTCTGGGTATGGATGCTCTGAGTCAAAATTAGTATAATCTCTTTCTGAATGTTTCTCAATGGCCTTCTATTTCTTCCCTAGCCAGCCATCTTTTCTTTCTCCGGTGCTTATGGACCTCTTCTGAACCTTTTTATTCAGTCATCCTCTTTGTACAGTTTCTCTTTCAGAGACTGGAACATCTGTTTAATTCACAGGGTTCACTTGTGTTCCTCATTTGAACCTTTGGCTACTTGTTCTATCTATAATCTTTCTCTAAAGACATATTTTCTTCTTCTTGCTTGTTTGCAGAAGATGTCACTCTGAAATTTTGCCTTGGATGCCTTCTGCACTCATTACCCTAGGAACAAGTTGATTTTATTCCCAGACTGCTCCTTCCTCTCAGAAAACTTGAACTACTTGCCATTTCTTTCTCTTTATGATTGTTCTGACCTCTATTATCTCCTTTGCCTCTGAGCAAGCAATTCATTGTTATCTCTCCTGTACTGTCCCTTTTTAAGGTAATCAACATAATTTTTTCTCTCCATTGGAATTATATTTGTTCATAACTTATCTCCCTCAATTTTGATCAGTTGGGTTAATCAGCTCATCTGGTTAATTTATTCTCTTCTGTGATTGAATGACACTTTTCAATTTTTTTCATATCTCATCCTATGAGGTTCATCATTTCACAGCTTGTCTTGCCTTTAACATTGGCTGGATGAGATTTTCCATGTGAGAATGTGGATGATTCCATTATTTTTCTGTCACATTGCTTACATCACATTGCAGTTTCATCTGCATCTTATGTTTGTATCCTTTCAGTCACAGAAGTTCCAGGGAAGTGAATTGTTAATTATTTATTGTGTTGTTTTTTCTGCTCCCACAACCACCTTTTTATCTGCGTTCAGTTCATTTGCCACTGCTCAGTGCTCACTGATAAGGGAGATGTTCCACAAGACTGCTGTAGCAGTATTTCTTTATTTCATTTTCTATCCCATACTTCAGAGAAAACATATTATTAGGTCTGATCCTGCTCTCACACTTTGCTAGTGTCTGCTGACCCTAACTACAGTAACCCATTATACAGTCTGTCAGTGAGGGATCTTAAACAGATGTAGTGATTCTTGTGATCTTCTATGTAAATTCCTCCCTCAGATTTTCTTCTGATGAAGTGAAAGAAGAACCCTTGCTTCCTCAGTCTGAAGTCACAGAGAAGGTTGATATGGAGAGTTCCTCTTTGGGTCATTGTAATCCCACTGGTATGAGACCGAGTGGATGCACCTCTCAATTGGGATTAGGGCTGGGATATTTACCTGGAAGTGTAGTACAGACCTACCCTACGCTATGAACCAGACCATTTCTGGTGGTTATGTCAATCATATGGGTCTTGTGTTTGCCTCAGGATGCAAGCAGGATGATTCCTTCCTGTGCCTGCTTATTCTAGGAAATATTTCACATAAATATTTCTGGTAATATTTCACAAAAGCATTTCTCATGTACTGCATGACCTAACTTATTGCCTTAGCCACACTACACATCCATGTTTAGTTAACTCCTTAAGATGAACTGGCTGGTTGAGCAATCTGTACGTTCTGCCCATCTGTGCAATACTTTAACAGTATACAGAAGGTTCTTTTGACAGTGCCTTTTTATTTACCACTTTTATTGGGTGAAAGTATTCCTTGCTCCATGAGTTTTCCATTTGTGATGCAATATTTCAGACAGGAGCTCATCTTTATCTATCTACACCAGTTCTTCGCCCATCCTATCAATATGGAGTGGCGAATGACATTTCTAAAGTTAACATTTTCTTTCTTTGAAAATGTATTTTAAGTAGATACTTGCATCTCCATAGAACCTCCCACCCTTCTTCCCCATTTCTGGTGTGTTTATTTTGCCTTGTTAAGAATGAGTCTTTTGTTATGGCACAAGTCTAAAAAGATCTTTCAGCATGGGCCAGGCTTTGAAGGAACTCCCATCATAACACATATTAACATGTATTGCACCAGTCTGTGATGCAATCAGCATTAGACTACAATCCTCCACCAACAGGAAGACAACATGTCCTCCATACACAGTAGGCCTCATGACTCAGTGGCACAAGGTAATAGCTATCAGTTCTCTGGAGAGGTGAGTATCTATCTGAATTATATGTTCAGCTAAGGAAAATGTTACTGTTGGATAAATAATGGACAGAAGAGGCTCTTGTAGCTAGTCTAGATTGAACTAGTTTACTATGGTATTGATAGGTAAAATTATAAGTGTCACAATAACAGGAAAACCAACAGGATAAGTTTAATAAAGTAAATAAGTCAAACTTGACCTCTGTGAAATAAAGAGACTAGATTGAATTGTTGAATAACATAAAAACGTAATCTTTAATGGCAATAACACAACAAAGTGCCATAAAGTTTCTATAAGAATTTATTATGGAGAGTTCTTCATAACAATCCAACTTATGTCGTTTAATGCTTCTAAAATAATTAACAGCTGCCAGAGCAAAGGACAGAGAAAATATGTGATCAGACTGTGCTAAGGTAATTCAACAACTCAGTCTGACCTTGCGCACATCAGAGGTCAGTCTCAGTGATAATTTAAGGGAAGATAAGTCTTCCTACCTGATCATTAGTTTTAGCTAGATTATGCAAGGGCTAAGAACATAGTAATTATTAAACTAGGCTTTCCTCTACAGGTGAGATAACACTTTTAATGCTTTAGTCAGTAAACCCAATAATGAGTGTTTGCTTGTACATTTTGGCAAATAATTTGTAGAATAGTTATGAGAGAGGTGGTTATCTATTATCAGATTAAAATAAAATTGTTAATCTTCTTTTTTGGTAAGTTGCACCAATGTAAACTTAAAACTTGCTTTAAGATTTCAGAGCTCATAACTTTTTTGTTGTGTATTTGCTATAAATATTCTAAGTTCTACAGGGAAGGGATGATTTTTTGTGAAGGAGGAGTTGATAGACTAGATATGTTTGTGATTATTTTTGTACTTTTCATTTAGATTGTGTATGTAATTATTTTTTAAGTAAATTTTAGTTTTACAAATATATATATTCTGTTATATTTTATATTCTCCATGTAGGTATCATATCCTACACTGAATATCTGTTCCTTCTTTCTGTGCTAACTAGTAAGTATTATGCAATTTCATACTCATAGTATTTAATATCAGAAATAGTTCAGCATATGATATGGCTAATTTATAAATTTTATAATTGTCTTTACTATTTAGATGTTACATATATATAATTATATTCACATCTAAAGACCATACCAGTGATCAAAAGATTATTTCCATAATTTCTACTTTATAGCCCTCATCATGGCTGAAACATACATGTACTTCTTCAGTTATTTATAATGCAAACTGAGGAAAATGAGTTGAAAGTGATATTTAAAACAAATGTAGAGACCCAACCCTAAAATAAAACAAAGTTTATCTGGTGGAGAGACTACAGGGGTGTCCAATGGCAGGAAGAAATTTTGCTCAAATTTTTTCACGTGTCACTATTAATAAACAGTAAAGCATGATTAAAAAAGGTCTATTTTACAAAATGTGCTGATGGAAGATACAGAACAGTTGACTGTTTATATGCTTGTTAGTGTAGGAATTGTATTTTTTTGTTGAGGAATGTACAAACAGCTTTTGGGGAGATTGCATAAAATGGTAAACTTGAAGAGAAGTGGGTACTTGCAAGACGATATTGGGAAAGTAATATAAATGATCATATCTTTCATGCCTATGCCTATGTAAAAATTTAAGTTCAGAAAGTTACAAGGTTAACTGTTAGAATTTTAGTATTTTATTTTTATAGATTGATATTTGATATTTTTTGGTGGGTCTAGTATGGGATTCTGAATTTTTGCAAATGAAAATGTTTCCTTTTCATCACTGTAACTATTAATTATAATTACAGTTTATTGTTTTTAGACAAATAACTTCTGTATAGTCAATTTAGAACAAAATGTACTTATGAACAATCAAGTTATACTCTGAAATTGAATTTTCTTACAGCTTAAAAACTTACCCAAAGATCTGATTATAAAGAAGTGATGAGCGTATATAAAGCCTTCCTGACTTTACATTACATTTTCCTATTTTGTTCCTGTCAGTACAGTGACTTTACTGCTCTTTGTAAATAAAAGACAAAAAAAACAACAACAAATAATCCACACTTAACTAAATGTTTGCCAAAGGAAATTAATGTGAGAAATATATTTCCTTTGGCAAACCTTTAGTTAAGTATGGATCATTTTGTTTTTTTCTCTTATTTTCTTTTTTGGACTTTCTCTGCTGATAGATTTGCAGGGTATATAATGCTGAAACATATTTTTGTCTTGAGTCATTCCTTCTGATTAATCTCATTTTGAGATAGATTCATTTTATTTGGATTTTGACCATGTTTATTGTTTGTTTGGTTTTCCTTCTGTCCTCAGTATCTGCATTTCACTGACACCTTTTGTAACATATTTTACTCAGGCACTGATTCACACTCCCAGGTTGAATATTATTCAAGTGATATCATTGTCTTGTCAGTTCCTCATTGAATTGAATTGAATTCCACACCATTGCCTGAGGCTCATTGAGTGATCAGCTGGTTTAATTTTTTTGTACCTCATTTAACATCCTGTTCTTTATTGGTGTATATGTAGGACATCTTTTATCTTTCCAATTTTTTCTGAAAAGATGCTCTCCTTGTTACATTATTCTATGGTTCTCCTTGCTTTATTTAGGCCAGTCCACCTATTTCTCGGTTTCCTGGAATTTAGTGTTTAGGAGATTTTGATGTCTAGAATTCAACCTCCGCCTGTATTCAAGAACTTGACATAGCCTCTTTGTTTTTTACTTCATTTTTACAGGTGTTTATTTTCATGTGATGAGCTATATTAGTACTATGGTCCAAAAAAAGTGTTAGCCATGTGGATAATTTGCCACAAGTATATTTAGCTATAACAGTGAGCATACATTTATTGAAGTGGTTATATTTATGTCAGTTTTAATCTGATTTAAATGGCTTTATTTTCACCTTTAAACTACGGATGCACAGATAATTAAATTCTTAGAGGAGTAATACTATCAAACATAGTAGAAAATTTGATACTTCCAAACCTTGTTATCAGTCCAGTGCTGTAGATGAAACACGAAATTCAAAATACCTTTCAAAATGCTGTACCGAGCCATCAAGGTATTTAGTCCCCAAACGAGGAGCCATAGTGTTAAAAAGATGAGGTCCTGAGAGTGAGTAATGTCATGTTAATTAATGGAAGAAATAAGAGTAGAATTTTCAAAATGTATCATAATAAAAGGTCTAGATAGACATGACACAAGATGGTGCAAGCTCATTAAACTCCCAACATCTTGTGGAAGTCAATGTGCAGAGACTGATTCTCCAGTTCGTAAAATACTGCGATGGTGTCCAGAACCATACACCAACCAAACAGAGGCATTCATGAAGAGATACAAGTTCAGATGAGGTGGGGGAAGGAAAACCTTCAGAGTCAAGTAGGATTAAGCAAACCACCATGAAAGTGAGAGGTGAAAAAAATAGAAGTAGAAAAATGAAAGAAGTCAGTGAATCACTGGACATATAATAATAATCTACCAGAAGCAAGAGAAGGGAAGGCAAGTGGCCATGTCCAGGGAAATAATGGACCCTCAAGGATAGTGTCCTCAAAAGAGATAGAACCTCTTGAGTAGGAAGAAAATGATACACAAGTCTTGGGAAACAGAAATTTTATATCTTAAAGGCATAAAGAAAAAATCTGAGTTCAATCAGCAAATGAGTTGATAAAGATCCCCAAACGAATCAAATACTGAGTTGAAGTCAATACTGACTTAAATATACTGACCATCTAACTATCCATATAGCTGTGAAAATGCAGACCCAATGAGTGCATCCTTCATGCAAAAACTCTCAAGACATAATTGAAAACAGATGAGGCTTGAGCCCTTAAAGAGAGAGAAATCACTTTTAGTCATCTCCAACCCAGCTGTGCCCTGTTGGAAAAATCTCAATAGTTTCATACCACAACATTATATCCAATTCAGCTACTTTCATATACAACCAATAAATGTAGGCAGTGGTTATACTTACACCAGTTGTAACATGATTTCAATGCCCATATCATTATACATGCACAATAATATATTTTGGACTATATTTTCAAGTCTGGATTGAATCCAAACACTGCCAATGCTTAAGTTATGTCACCCCCTTGAGGTAGATTCCTGTACATGGTGAGGGGGACCTCCCAGGGAAAATACTTTATCTAGAGTTTACCTCCTCTGGGATCCAAACATCCACCCACGTGTTTGTCTTGCATGGTATCCCGTGAAAGGGTGAAGAGGATCCTAGTGATTGAGGGGTGTCATTAATGGGTCAGATTATATTGGTGGCACTTTAACACATCACTTTGGCCTTCAATTCCTGTAGATGGGTGGCCTTGGGGTGGCTTGCCCAGGTTCATTTGGCTGGTCCTTTTGCACTATGGTCAACCAAGTACCAGTGTTGGACATTCTCAATGGGTATTGTGAACATTGTGTCTGATAATGGTGTTTTGGTATAGTGCCCACAAAACCCTAACATCTCTACAGTGCTATACTTTAGCATTGTAGTGTATCCCCTTGTAGGACTCCTTAGTGGGTGGGGTCAATGGGCACAGAAGTTTTTCCTTTCTTATGGATCCTGCACCCAGTGACCCTAAAGAAAACAAAAAACTTGTTTATAGGAAAGCGACCACATTAGGAAGACTGTGAACAGCAGTCATCACCCAATCTATACCTGTACCTCATTTCTTCATTCTTTGTCTGACAAACCTTTAGGGCATATATCTCCATTTTTCATTCAGAAAGGATTAGAGGAGCATTCTGGCTCTCCAAAGTTAGTTAAGAAGCTACGTTCTGGGGACATTTTGGTGGAAACAATCGCATCAAAACACAGCGAACTCCTCCTGAAATGAAAGGCCAGTGGCGATATACCTATTGAGGTTACTCCCCATGCTACTTTGAATTTCTGTTCCTCATGAGGAGTTATCATTGAGAGGGATTTAAGAAACATCTCTGAGTTGGCCAAGGAGTTTCTGCTGTGTGACGTATCTCCATTCATAAAGAAGAAATTATGGTGCCTACCAATGTTTTTGTATTGACATTTTACATCTCCATGTCTGCTTGCCACTGTCGAATCAGGTTATCTGAATTGTAAAGTGTGGCTGTATATTCTTAACCCTCTTAGGTGTTTCCAGTGTCAGCAGTTCAGATATTCTAAGACTTCTTGTCATGGTTCTTTGATGTGCTTGTTGTGGTGGCAAAAATCATGATGCCTATGAGTGTCAACTGGACCCTCACTGTGTCAATTGTGGTGGTTCCCACCTCTCTTACTTTCGATTTGGCAGTAAGTGTGTGGAGGAGAAAGAGGTACAATGTTTGCATACTGTAAACAACATTTCTTATCCAGAGGCAAGACCATTTGCCCATTTTTATTTGTAACTTTTTACTTAACAGGTAATTCTAAGTCCATGTGGGTTCAACCATTTCCCATTCTTTCACACAGAAACTTGGAGTCCCTCAGGGTTGTGTCTTGAGTGTCACCCTTTTCAGTATCAAGATCAATGCTATCACTAACCTACTTCCTCCTACTGTTGCAAACAGCCTCTCTATAGATGATTTCCATATTTTTTGTTGGTTGTCGAGCATGAGGTTTATTGAGTGGCAGCTTCAGACTTCCCTCACTTGCTTGTTGGAGTGGACCACAGCAAAAGGTTTCACTTTTTCTTCTTTGAAACTGTTTATGTCCATTTCTGCTGCCAGCCGGGTTTACACCCTGATCCTGAGCTCGGTCTCGAGGTTGTTCTTTTTCTCGTGATTTCTGAGAGGAAATTCTTGGGGCTTATCTTTGACCGTAAGCTTACTTTTATTTCTCACATTAAGCAGCTTCGTGTCAAATGTACAAGGGAACTGAACATCCTCTGTGTTCTCTCTCTTCAACCTCTTGGAGAGCAGATGTTCCATGTTCAAGATATATCATGCCCTCATATGTTCCAAGCCTTGAAGATGTTGGATCCTGTACATCCTCTGCGGCCTCGACTCTGCACGGAGGCTTTCCACTCTTCGCTAGTCCGGAGTTTGAACAC